CCAGAGTTCTCGCGAGAGCACGATTTGAATTTGCTCAGCGAGTCACTCTGGCAATGAGTAGTGATGCTCATTACCTATGCCCATGAAACCTAGCTGCACCAATCACATTGGTGTATCTGATATAGGCGGGCCAGAGGCGAGCTAAACAGATGACGACAGCGCTGCGACGACGAAGTCCGGAATCAGTCAGGAAACATTGCAAGATGGCTACGGATGAACACCACTTGTTTGAAACGGCTTTGGCCGCTACAATGAACGAGTTAGATTTGGCTTTTTCTCTAAAAGAGGAACAGAAGACGGCCCTCGAGTCTTTCCTTTGCAAGAAAGACGTTTTTGCTGTTTTGCTGACCGGATACAGCAAGAGTCTAATCTACCAGTTAGCTCCGCTGGTAGCTATAAGCGTAGTATTGTTCTGATAGGTCGTAGTGTTATCCAATTGCGTGCAGTGATATTTACAAATGCATGCTTGGTGCCGCCCCTCGAGTTGGGCCATTTGCATTACTCATGGCCAGACCCTAAATCTTTCTAGATTTGGGTCTGGATTTCCAGGCTACCACAGCTCCACCTGCTTGTCTAAATATGGTCACTTCTGGCTCCAAAAAACCTGAAATGCTGAAATGACAAACTTGAGTCCTCAAAACAAGCCACAAGCCAATGGATGATGTCACAGTAGCCATGCCTGTTTTTTTTGTTTGTTTGTTTGTTTTTTACAGTCAATTGCATCTACTTATGTGCCAAAGGTTTCTGCATGTGACAGTGAAAGATGTAAATATTAATGGTGTCTTCCTTGGCTGAGCTGTAACGTTAGCTAGCTCAGCAGGGGTGAGCTAGCAGAATGCATGCTTCCTTCTGCGCGGTGATACAATTGGCGGGTATAGTTCGGCAGAAAGAAAATAGTTCCTACATGAAACTGCTCACATCAAGGTCTGTGGATTATCCTGAGTAACAGGGTCATGTGTTCAGGAAAGAGACATTGCTTTTGGGTGTTTCAAATATATCTTTATGGTGCTTTGAGCACCACAAGCTGAGTGCCATCTAGTTCCATTATATTGCAGAGAAGGCAGACATCTCTACAGCCATTATCTCCAACACTTGGCAACTCACACCAAAACAATCTGGACTGAGAAATAGCACCGCATGTAAGAGGTAAAATATGTATTTTTGATTTGGGGGTGAACTGCCCCTTTAGGTCCAAAGGTAGAGTTTTACAAACACAGTAGTTACAGTATAAGCCTGGAGCAAGGAACAACCAACAAAGCCTGATCAGAAGACTTTAGAGACCCACTGGCTAATATAGTTTGGTGCCTGACCATGCAGAGCTCAAATAAACACAACAATCACAATAATCTTAAATAGAATTCTGAATGTGATAGGGAGCCATTGCAGAGAAACAGAGACGGTATCAAAGGAGACATTTTAGAGGACCTGGTAGAAAGTTCAGCGGCAGCAGCATTTTAGACCACTTGTAAGCGGTCCGAGGATGTTTTGCTGATGCAGGTAAAGGTGAGAATGGATGGAATGAAATAAAACGATTTTTAGCATTTTTTCAAGCAAACACTCTCTTGTTGTAGCTTCTCAAATTTGAGGATTTGCAGCCCTTTTCCCTGTCATATCACAATAATAATGAACATCTTTCAGTCTTAGACATTTAGTCAGACAAACATACAAACTGAGGATGTCATCTTGAGCTTTGAGAAACTGTTCAGACATTTTTACAGACCAAATGTTTAATTGATTAATCAAGAAAAATACTGGCAAATTAATGAGTACTGAAAATAATGTTTAGCTGCAGCCCTACCACAGTGCAAAAAGCTGCAGTTACTGTGATGTATAAGTTTTATTAGTCTGCTGAGAACAATTTCCAGAATATACAGTGGGTTGTATAATTATTTACTATTTGATCAGATACTGATCCCAAATAAAATGTTTTTTGTCCAAAAGATAAAAATATTTCTTTGTTAAAAATTGAGTGTATCTGTGATACCGACATAACAGCATTTATATGTGAACCTCAATATTTAATAACGTAAATCTTTTGCATGAATATTTAATGTTTCTACCTCAACCTTAGTCGCAGCCCAGCTACAGCCTCTCTGGGCTTGTGAAAGGTGTTATCAGCCACACATTTATTTTGTATAAAAGAATAAACTTTCATAGTACAAAATGTGACTAATAAAATCCAAAAATTTACATTTTAACAGAAAATATAGACTTTCTACACAACATAGTGTTGCTGGTCAGTCACCTGAGCCAATGAGCTCTTGTAAGTGATAAAAGCAGGCGTTTCCCGTTGTGCTCTGACATCATGCATTGTATGATGATCGCTGGTGTCCTTCCTCATCTTCAGCAAGCCTCACTGTTTAATAGACTATGATGACATCACATAACTTCCATCAAAGCTCCACCCAACGTCAACGTGATTAGAGGTCTCATTATCCAGAGTAATTGAAAACACCTGTTTGGGTGTGCAGGGCCTTTACGTCAGTAATAAATTGTGGCACATTTTTTACTTTGTGGTCATCTAACAGAAACAGGATTGTATATCCTGTGTGTCTAAAACCACATTTCATTTAAAAAGCAGATTGGGTGAAGAGTGCTACTTCACACATGCAGGTATCAAACAACAGGTGGTCTTGTATCAGAACAAACAAAAGAGAGGTTAGACTTGCAAAGCAGTGCGCCTTGGTATTGTTTGGGTGTAACTTATAGATCACAAAGCAAAGTACAAGTCTAACCTCTTTTTTTTTTTGGTCCCACATTTTATTTACTTTAAACCTTGTCTGAGTTTCACACTTTAACTTACACAATATGAGCTAATGGTGACCTTTAGAAATTTATCTTTATAATATATGTTTTTTGGGTGGGATTGGGGTTTTTCACACACTTTGTGCAAAAGGAAGTATTGCTGTCTGTTTCTTTGCGATAAGACGAGTTACAAAAATCTAATAGTGATTAAAAATTTCTTATACTAGAAGGTGTTTTAGTTCTTAGCGCAAGTGGCATCTTTGAAATCATTGAAACTTTATTCCAAGGTGCTGAAAAAAGGCTCCAACAGATTGTCAAACCTCAGATTAAGGAAGAGCAATGCCAGTTTCATCCAGGCCTTGGAACAGCCGACCAACTCTTCACCCTTGCAGGGCTGTTGGAGGGGCCATAGGGTCATTACTATGAGCCGTCCAGTCCTTGTATAACCAAAGTGAGAGCTGTGTGCATATACTCAACACAAAATTAAACACATTTTCAGAGGGTGATGGCCTGTGCCAGAATTGCCCCTTGCCACCGATTCTGTTTTTGATATTTATGGACAGGATCTCAAGGTGCAACTGGGGGAGGAGAGTGTCCAATTGGGGACCTCAGAATTTTATCTCTGCTCTTTGCAGATGATGTGGTTCTGTCACTTCTGTCGCTTCATCACACCGTGACCTCTAGCACATTTTGGGGCAGTTTGCAGCTGAGTGTGAAGCATTTGGGATGCGAGTCAGTACAGCCAAGTCTGAGGCCATGGTTCTCAAATGGAAAATGGTGGATTGCCCCCTCTGGGTTGGGGGACAGTTACTGCCCCAAGCGAAGGAGTTCAAGTGGCTAGAGGTCTTGTCCATGAGAGAGGGTAAAATGGAGCTGAAATGAACAGGTGGTTTGGTGCAGTATTACCCATGATGCAGGCATAGGAGCTGAGCTGGAAGGTAAAGCTTTCTATTTACCGGCCCGTTTACATTCTGACCCTCACCCATGATCATGAGCACTGAGAAGTGACTGAAAGAATGAGACAGTGGAGGCAAAAGACTGAAATAAGTTTCCTCTGTAGGGTGGCTGGGGTCAACCTTAGAGATAAGGTGAGGAGCTCAGACATCCGCAGTGAGCTCGGAGCAGAGCCGCTCCTCCTTTGCGTTGAGAGGGGCTCATTGGTGCCTCCCGTTAGAGGTTTTCCGGGCACGTACAACTGGTAGAAATGCCCCATGGTAGACCTAGAACATGCTGGAAGGATTGTATATCTCATCTGGCCTGGAGATGCCATAGGATCCCTCAGGAAAAGCTGGAAAACACTAAAGGAGGAGCTGGAAAATGCTGAGAAGGACATTTGGAAAGCCTTGCTGTGACCAAGCCGCACATAAGTGGATGAAAATAGATGAATGGAAGGTGGTAATGTTGAAAACTAGTACTTTCTTAGTTCTGTACATGGTTTGGATATTTGTTATATTTACTTGCAGGGGGAATACTGCTCTTAAAATGATTAGTAGGGAACCTGGTCATAGGCTCATATTGAAAGACATAATGCAGTTGGTGTGACCAAACCTATGAGACATTGTGAAATAAACCACCATACAAGTAAAATAATTTAGTATAACTACAAAATCCTCTCATTACCACTGTCTTACTGTGATTATGTGAGGCGAAAGGTTGCTGATTTACCGTTGTCGCTGGCAGGAGGACACAAAGAGGTGGACATTAATTTTCTGTTAATTGGTTTATTTATGGCAGCAGTAATTCTGACTGCAGGAATATGTCAACCATTTACACCAAGTAGGAGTTTATTCACTGCCTGACCAATAGCAGAATTATTCTCTACATATAAATATAGCCACTGCCACTGCTGGGTCACTGCACCTGGCCATTGCGTGACTGCAGCATAACTGAAGCAGCATCCGATAAAACACAAACCAAGAATAGAAAAAGGACACAGTGTAATAAAAAGAAGTAAATAATTCATGAAAAAAGCCGTTGCTGGGCTTTTTTGTTGTTGTGTTACACCAGAGTTTAAGAAGATGGCAGTGCTTTGCTGTTAAAAGATAGTGATTAATTGCACATAAAGATGTTTACTGCTTTCTGTCCATCCTGCTGCTTTTGCTTTCTCGTTTTTATGTCAAAGAAAAGAGACACAGGAAGTCTTGAATATCACAAAAGACACAATCTTTAGAAGACACTGATGCTTGTCCATCCACTCTCCTATATGATGGAGGGCTGGTATGTCTTCTACACGTTATATCATAACTTTATCTCGCTTTACTTCTGCCTCACTGCGCTGCCTTTGTCAAGTGATGCTGTGCTGAAAGTGATGGCTTCCTCTTAATTAGGACTCCTTTTGTGCTTCTCTGAGGTACAGTGTGAATGCATTGCAGCCTTGACAGTGGCAGAGCTGCAGGATCCAGGCACATGCTGTATAGAGGGAACCCCAGGCCCACAGGCCAGTTGTTGAGTGGTGGTGCTGTAAATAGCAGCAACCCTCTGTAGACGTCACAGTGGAGATAATAGGTGCTGGGAATGTTTCTGCCGCCTCTCTGTGATGATAGAAACAAGAAAACATTATGTGAGGGTTTCTTTTGGTCGGAGGAGAAAATAAAAAGTATAGAATAAAATCACTGAAAGGATCTTTTTCGATGTGAAGTAATTATTGGTTAAGTTTCATATAATACTGGGATTTTTTGTGAGACACACCTCAGTCAGTGTCAGTGACTCACTGGCTGTGTCAGGCCTGACTCACAGCCTGCTGACTTAAAGCCTGTCAGTTTCTCAGCTTTAAAAAGAGCAGCTTGGATCTGTGAAGATAAAATGCTAAAGAGGTCTGTCGGGCCATTATATTAATTCTATCTGTTAATTTATTTTACGTAATATGAAAAGGTGTGCGTCACAGTTCCTGTATTGATGGAGCTGATGGTAAAACTGTGCATTTACAAAGAAAACCCAGTGAATCATATCTGACATTCAGGGTTGCAGAATATCTTAACCATAACTCTACCCAGTTGAAAACCTGGGAGATTGACATGTCAGACAGTGTCTCCGCCACCATCATTAAATTACCAATAATTTGGTTTAATTAGCTTATTTTACATTGTGAGAAGGAGGATATTAAAGTTTACAATTTTGTCTTAAAACACAAAATACCTTTGAAACAGTTTTTGCTTGTTGTAGTCATTCTTCCTGTTCATACTGACCATTAACAGATCACATCCTAATGACTTTCCACAGGAAGTGATGGGGGACAAATTCCACAGTCCTCACTCATTGCTGAAATATGTTCCAAAGTTTATCTATAGTTAGAGCGAGGCTTCAGCAATCTGAGTTATGTAAATGAAGTGGACATTTTCTAAAGGTGCTGTCTTTTTAGCACAAAATTCTGGCTTAGGAGATCATAGATGGGTAATACTCTAAACATAACATAGCCTTTTTAACTGTGACTTTATTTGGGTGGCTAAAATATGTTTGCTGCTGCACCCGGTCACAGTAATATGTTGCTTAGCTTCTCTGTCGGCACTCCTGCTGCTTCTCCAAGCTGGGAGCGTGCTGACTGACATCTATTGTATGTAATATACTGACCATGGAGAAGTACCCCATACAACCCCACTTCAAAAATTCCGAGCTATCCCTTTAATGTAATGTATAAGTAATATTAAGACTGTGAATATGGTAAACATTATACTCGCTGAATATCAGCATATTAGTACTGTCACTGTGAATATGTTAGTATGCTGACTGAAGCATTCAAAGCACGCCAAATTATGCAGTGAATTCCCTTCAGGGCCAATTTGAGGCAAGTGAATTTGCAAACAGAAATACAAGAACTTCTTAAATATTGTGGCATGCATCAGTGTTTGCGTTCCATGAGAAGATAATTTGAATCCATCCCCTAACAGAGTGAGAGGAAGATGACCAGTGAGACGCCACCCACCATCTCTATGGCTCTGGTGAACCCCCAAATGTCCTCTGCCTCTGCAGACAACAGAACCTCCTCCACGCAGCAGCTCTCCATCAGTGTGTGAGTCACTGTTTTAAACATTATATTAATTATATGATAATGTCACATCACAGGTGCAAGATATGAATAGGCAAAGCAACAAGACACACTCAAATACTCCTAAAAAAGGCAGCACAATTTGGATGTGTATTGTAGAAAGTTTTGTAGTAACATAGACAAACCCTCTGTGTGTTTCCTCAGGTGTGCCGTCCTGTACTCCTACAAACCACGTCGGCCCGAGGAGCTGGAGCTGAGGAAAGGAGAGATGGTGGGAGTGTATGGAAAGTTCAAAGAAGGCTGGCTGCGTGGGTTATCGCTCAGAACGGGCAAAGTGGGCATTCTGCCCAGCAACTACATAACGCCTGTGCTCAGGTGAGAGGCTGTGATCCCTGACTGCAGAAAGTGGGAGCTGAACGACATTTAGATTCAGACAGTAATTTAGTGTAGGCAGGATGACATGTCATCATGCACACATCTCAGTGAATCATAAAATTGGAATAAAACACTGAGGATGGTGCTTGGTTCAAAGAAACTTCAGAGTATAACAATTGATATTCAGCAGGTACTTCAGCATGTACTAAAGTGTCTCATTGCCTCACTGCAGAACCTCAGCCAGGCTCCTGGAGACCAAAGCAGCTAATGCGTCCTCACAGTACAACACAGTAGCTGGAAAGAAACCCACAGCTGCCAAGAATCCTGCTGTGGTCCTTGCTCTTGATAGGGTAAACTCTGATGGAGCGATATACTCAACAGGACAGGTCCCATCTGTGCCAAATGGAGCACAGCATGCAATGTCATCCACTGGCACTGTAAAACCGTCCTTCTATGGGAGTTCACAAGGTTGGGACACTGTGAGACGCATCTTTAACCCTCATAGAGGTGAGTGATAAACCACCACATCTACCCTTTAACTGATGATTAAATTAGAGATTTCCCCAGGCTGTCAATGACTGTCTTTTCAATGTTTTTGTTTTTCAGGCTCAAACCACGTCTCCCACACGTCCAATCTGAATGTTCCGTCCAACTCACAGCACTTTGCATAAGTTCAGGCGTCCGGCTACTCACCTGCCATGCAGAGGAAGAAAAACAGCAGCATCCTGTCCAACTCTGTCAGACCACGGGGCTGGATGACTGAGCCAGCAGCGCCCTCTGCTGCTGCAGTCTTTAAGGACAGGGAGCTCACTTCTTTACCAGAGGCAACGTTTCAGCATGACAGACAGCCTCCCAATGGGCCTCACTCAATTCTAGTCAGACCCGACTCACACAAGAATAATACAGACAAGGTAATGTCAAACTGATTATTTCCTGAGAGAGACATGAGCATGCATTTGTTTAAAGTTAAGAACTCTGTGTGCATTGGGCCTCATTCAACAACCGCTCTTAAGAAGGAATTTATTCTTAAAACCCACCTGTGCAGTTTTTACAAAGATTCTGACATACTGTTGTGCACTCCTAAGCACATTTTGTGCCAACATCTCTTTGCAAAAATAACTGGTTATTGCATTTTCTTCAATTCTACAGTTGTATAATATTATAGAAATTCAAATACAATATTATTTTTTATAATTTTTTAAATAATTATTTTCATTATTTTTTTAAAAAAGCATATGGCCTTTGAAAAATAAACACTGTAGTAACACTTAAATTCACATCAGTTATGTTAATGGTAACCATGCCCTCTGATAATTAATAATAATTGTGACAAGTGTAAGTCACAAAGTAGTATGCAGATTAAGTTTGCAATACCTTACAGAGACATTGGGTGAAATAGTCCACCTTCCACCTTCTCTCCTCTCTCTGACTCTCTCTCAAACACATGCACGTAGCATGGAGAGCACTACGTACTTGTCTCTGTTCTCAAGCCTGACGATCGTGCTACTATAATGCATAAAGACGTGCAGTTTGTTGAGTGGTTGATTAACACGTATTTCGGCTTCCCATGTCTTTTTGTGTTATTTTATATCCACTACTGAAGCTAATAAATGTGACAACTTGTTTGGTGTTCACTTCCTGCACCCTCTTCAGACTTTTACTCAGGCATTTTTCACTTAATTCTCTCAACTCTTCCTTTTGTTCAGTTTCTGTGTGCGCACACAGCCCTGCAGTTTTGTGCCCTTTTATGGGGTTTTGTGGGTGTTTACCATGCTAATTAGGATCAGCTTGCATATGCTTGTAGCGAGGACAAGGTGATTCATCATTATAAGAACACGGGTGCAAACAAATCTGTGATTTAAGAATACGTCATGAATCTGATGTAGAATTTTCATTTTCATTTTCAATTCATGAAAAAATGAGGAAGATATTGGTGAATGAGGCCCACTGTTCTTAAACTATTCCCATGATAACTGTTCTGCATGTGCCTTACTGTAAATATTTTACGTTCCTAGCCGGCAAAGTCAGTGCGGTTCTTCACAGATGAAGACTCCCCTCCTCCAAGACCTCGCACCTCCTCCTGGTCATCAGGAAATCAGGTTCCGTCCAACTCCCGCCCTGGCCCCCCTCCATTAGAAGTGTGGGCCCCATCGCTCACCCTGGGAAGAGACGGACCAGGGATTATTCTCAAAGAAGGAAAAGCTCCTATTCTCAGGAAAGGCCTTGAAACAACTGTCTCAGATCTAAATTCTAACCAACAGAAACCAATGTCGTTACAGCCGTCGCTATCAGCCGTGTCAGCTCAGTTCAGCCCCAGCAGGTAGGTTGGATTTGTATGTCTTTCCTTAAAAATAAACTGCATATTGATTATCAGACAGACAAAGCAGACTTGAAAGTTTGTCATTGATTTGACAAAGACCTCTTGCATCTTTTGCTTTTTTTTTTCCAGACACAGAGTGACCACAACGCATTTAGCCCAGACGGATTCAGAGCTCAGTCTGCTTCAAGGAGAGCTCGTCCTCGTCCACAGACCTCGACCTGATGGACGAGTTCTGATTACTCAGGAGAGCAGCGGGCAGACAGGCTTATTCCACAGCGTTGTTCTTCAAGACCTCGAGAGGCTCAGCTGACTGTAGTACTACTGTAGTAGTGTATATTTCTATAATCCATGTGTTCAAACTGCCAAATGACTTGACTGACCTGCTGAACAACAAGATGCGTGTTGAGGTCCAAAGGTTAATACTGCCATTGACAATCCTTTGAAGAAAGTGTTTATTTTTGTCCTGAGTGTATATGAGAGTGTGGTTAAATTCCCCGGAGATATATCGTGTGTTCTTCAACTTACAGTATGTGCATGTTTGTTACACATGTAGCCTACTATTATAAGAATTTGCACAAAATCCCACCTAATGACTGTTCCTTGTTTAATATCCATGTTACACGCATTGGTGAGTGCCTTTGTCAAAACCCACAAAGAAACATACTATATTTAAATATATTTAGAGAAATTATGAGGTAAAATATATGTACTGCTTAATGTGGTAATAAACTATACTTCCAGAACGTTTGTAGTTTAGTGTCTTACCTTCTTTGACAACAATAACATAACTGAGAAATCTTTGCCTTAATGCAAAAGTCTTGCAATCAAACTTCAACTGCAAATTAACATTTGTAAGTACAACAAAAAGAGGCTGACCTGTTTTTGAAGCATGTTAAACTCGTCATGCAAGAACTGTTTTAGTATTGCAGCTGAGTAAACCACTTCATATTGTGTTTTGGGAGTTACCCCATGTTCTACATGTTAAAACGTATTCTGCAACCTGGCTGACTGCAGCATGACTGGATTACCTGGCGCCCCACTAGCTTAGTGTGTCATCTGGTTTGTGGTCATTTGAATTCTTAAAAAAATGATAGGGGACGATCAAGTGTCAGATGAAACTGAAACGAAAGACAACCAAATGGAAACTGATGCAACTGAAAATACAATGAAAACGGAGGTATGTGATGATAGGCTACTGTCAAGTGGTGAAATATTTCCAGATCATGACATTATGTCTGTGCCTTCTTCGGTTCCTGATGAATTTTTCAGATAGTGGAGAGTCTCGAGGATTCCATCATGTTCTTACAGACAATACAAATTGGTTAACTGAAATTGTAGGTTTGCAAGTTAATTGACGCTACATTATATCATAGCATTACATCCTATGTCACAGCTGTCTCTCATTACGGCCCTTTTTTTCAGAGCAATAAACTCGAGAAACCTGACAAGCAGGAGGTCAATGATGACAATGTCAAGTTGATGGTGAGATGTCGTCCCCGATCTATGAGACCAGTCTGGAGGATTCCACCTTGTTTTCATAGACAATACCAATTTGGTCAAAGAGCTGATACAAAGTCAAATGAAAACTCAACAGACTTTCAATCCACCCAGCCCAGACTAAAGTACCTCATGGTCAAACTAACTCCTTTGCCAGTTCTTACAACACCTAGGTCAAGATTTTTGGTCCAGAAACAAAAAAAAAGATGGAGAGATGCAAAAACAGTGTGAAGACAGATGTGAAAAGGGAAACGATGCTAGATAGGACAGACATCCCACCACCTAGCCATTATTCTGACTGAGGACCACTAAAGCACAGTATAGGTCAACAAAGCAAGGGGCTTTAAGTGGGTCCTGCCTGATTTTGTCTTGAAGAGTTCCTAATCAGAGTGCAACCAATGATTAATTTTTGAGGCTGATGCCAATATCAATATTTAAGAATTTTGAAAAACATTGTCATAGCATTGTATTTTAATTCTATTTCACACAAACACAAGCATTTTTGATTAAGATCCCTACAATTTGGTTATTACGGAGTATGTACTAAGTGACACATATTACAAAAATTAACCTAATTTTATGTCTTCATGTAAAATAATCTAACCTATGAATCTACGAATAACCTCAAGCATTCCTTTGGAATATCGTCACTGTAATTTGTTGATTCTTATCTATATCCATATATCTGCATATCCTAATATGGGCTTGGCCAATTTCATTATCTGCTTATCAGCCTAGAGCTAATCAAAATCTTTCAATCTTTTAAGGCCTAAATTTCACTGATGTGCACATAGAATATGTGCCAGATTAATGTGTGTATAATCAAGCTAACACACAGCAGTATTCAAGCATAGGAAAGTCATACAATGCACAGGGAGTGGGAGGATGGGGGGGTTAATGGGGTCCAGCCAGTAATTTTTTACCTCTGTACTTTAATTCAACTGCATTGCACTGAATCACCTACGGTAATAGTTAGTGCTACAGTAAATGTATGCCCCGCATATATGAAATATATCAACACAATGGAGCCATTTACATTGCAGCAGTTACTGTAACCAACCAACTGAAGACCCCCTCTCCAGCTTCCCCCATGACGCATGCGCAGTGTGACAGCGACCTGACAACAAGCTATCGGATGTGAGCCTCTGATGATATGGGCACTGCGCTGGCATTTAAATTCTTCGGATAACCTAGACTCAAATGAACAAAGCCTTACAAACATTTCATTGTCATTATACGTATACTATAATCGTCTTTCTGCATTCTCACTATGCCGGTAAGTCGACACGCCTCTTTGGATTATTTTGTTTTGTTTGCAAAGGGGTTCCTCCCTTCCTCCGACCTCACTGATGTGATGCTAACCGGTTAGCATCGTTAGCTTACAGTAGGATACAAGGAAATGGTGCACCTTACTTTTCAGCGTTGGGGTTTTGTCAGTCAGCACGAAGCAGTTAGCACGGCTTGTTAGCAGTGTGTGGGTTTCACATATAATTATTCTCCATTATTCTCCATATAATTATTCTCTCTCTGTTGTAGCGTTAGTTAGCTAATGTTAACGTTTAACCGTTAGTTAGCTAACGTTATCCTAAACGTTACTAGCGGTTTCCTGCCTAGCAACCCAGGAAACGGCAGATAACGTCCAAGCGACTAACTCGCCTAGCTTCGTATATGCCAAGTCATTGACTGCTAATTGTTTTTGCCGGCTACCCCCTCTTATCCATGTTGGTTAACTAATACTGTAAATATGTATGGTAATTGTCACTACATAATAACTCATCGTTACATCCTATGGAATAGCTGTCTCTCATCACGGCCCTTTTTTCCAGAGCAATAAGCTTGAGAAACCTGACAAGCAGGAGGTCAATGACAACGTGAAGGTGGTGGTGAGATGTCGTCCCCTCAACCAGAAAGAGAAGGTCATGGGCCACAAACAGGCCGTCGTTGTGGACGAGATCCGTGGGACCATAACAGTTAACAAACTGGAAACTCCACATG